TTTTGATTACTATACCAGCTTTCCCATATAAATTTTAATGCATTATTTTGTTCAATTAACTCTTTATTTATTTTATTTTGCTCATAATAGAGTTTTAATAATTTTTTATTTATAGGCATTGTAAATACTTCTCTATTTAGTTTTCACAGTTTATATATGCTATTTGATAGGACATTATGCACATAATATGGTCTTCTCTATTTGGGCACAAATTTGTAGTTTTGTGTATCTAATAATCTAGAATTATAAATAAGGATCTTATTTCCTATAGAAAAATTAGAGTAGCTTTGATTTGTCAATTATATTACTCCTTTTGCTTTTTTGTATTGTTTGTATTTTTTATAACAGTCAGGGATATTTCTATATTTGGTAGATCATATGATAGATGATTCTAGAACAAAAATTATTACATGGCAGATAATCTAGAAATTTGATCGTCTAATTTCTTATTAATTTTTAACCATTTTTTACAGAATTCACATGATAAGGTTACACAAACTGTCTTTATAATACAATAAAGCCTTGTAGAACTAGAAAGTTTCAAGTAAGTAGTTTTATAATTAGTTGATGCTTTTTCATAATTAACTCATTCTTAAAGTTTATGAGTATAGCAAAATGCAGCTTTTTTTAGGTTGTTCAAAACTATAAAATAAATTACAACTTGGACTTTTTTTTTTAACTTTAGGAATTCATCTAAAAACAACTAAGCACCTTGAACTTTACTTTGCTAATATTGCCAGCCTCTATTTTCTTATTAATATAGCTGTTCTAACAAAATATAACCTCAATATTACTGTTAGCTCAGGAAATTTTATCTCTTTTCACTATAAAACAAAACATTGCAGTCAAAGTTCAACTCATTCATCATTACATAGTATAGGAGATTTCATTAATTCTACAAAAGTTCCTGCCTACAATATTTCCATCCAGCAATTATCAAAAAGAAACGAAAATTGTCGACCTGTCAAAAAGTTTGATTCCAACATTATTATAAAACCAAACTAGTATATAATGAATTTATTTGCTTATATTTTTTACATCAAGATTCACTAATATTAATTTTTTTTGATTAGTAGCAACTAATCAAGTGATAGCTAACCAAGCAGCAAGTGATCAAGAGGCAACTAACCAAGAGACAACTAATCTAGCAGCAACTAACCAAGTAGCAACTAACCAAGTAGTAGCTAACCAAGCGACACTAACCAAGTGGTAACTAACCAAGTGGCAGATAATGAACAACCATGAGCACAAGACCTACTATGTGTCTTTGCTACTTTTTTTGAAAATATAAAAGTCTTAGTTTATTAAAATGTGAAACAAAGAAATCACAAACTATACACATGCAGATAGTAAAAAACCAAAAGATCATCTTCAATTGTATCATAACTTTTTTCCTAAATTAGTTTAAATTCAAATGCATTTAAAAGATTTTTCTTTATGCGAAAAGCATTATAATCAATTAGTTGCATCTGATTTTTTGTGTCAAATTCTTTTAAATTCAAATTTGTCTAGTAATTTGTCTAGTAATTTGCCTAGTAATATGCTTAATTATCGATGTAGTAATTGAAAAAGAAAAATAAATAATGTTTTTAATGATGAATTTGTTGAAAAGCAGGCTCGTACTGAGCATGCTGAAACAGAAGCTGAAATAAATATATATAATAACATGCAAGCTGACAAACAAACTAATGAAGTTGCTATGCAAGCTAGCAATGAAACTCATGAGATTGATATTCAAGTATCTGATAATATATTGTATGCTCTTAAAACCCATATTAATCTACTTCAATTCCAGTTAAATTCTAGAATAAATGAGATAAAAGATCTCAAAAAACAATTAGAATATACGTAAAATTACGTAATAGAAAGTTGGAAACATGTTCAAGAAATCAATAAAATAAATAAAGAGTTAATTGAACAAAATAATGCATTAAAATTTATATGGGAAAGCTGGTATAGTAATCAAAA